CAAATGTGTTATGTATAACGATAATTTGTAAAACTCGTACCCAATCGATTTGCGATTGCAAAATAGGGTTTATACATCCCATAACACACAATACATATTTTTCAAGCCGTAAATCATGATCACCAACAAAAGTAATCTATTTCCAAATATGCAATTCTAATAGAACTGATATTGCCCGTAATCACATATAAATATTTAATTACCAAAACCATAGAAATTTCCAAAATCGAATCAGCCAAAAATTGGAAACAAATCAAGATCTAAAGTGATACACTTATTATTATCAAATACAAGAGAATCTCCAATATCTTAAAAATTTCCCAAAAATACGAATGATTCAAAATAAAGTAAAATAAATTAATCCGCTGGAATCATCCTTTTTACAAATTAAATTTAGACTGATTCTCAAATCAAAACAAAAATAAGTCTGTAAGGGAATCTCAATACAAAATCTCGACCAGACTTATGAATCCACCAAATTAAATTGAATGTTAAATTCAATCCATTAAAATTTATTGGATGGTGCCTATTAAAACAAAAAAATAATTATACTTATGGCACTTGAACTGTAATTGATCGATCGACAGAGAAGTGAAACGAGAAATTTTATTCCACTTGATCGCATGAGCAAATTAAACCAAATTGCCAGACTTCATCCAAAAAAATAAACACACAAATCCAAAATTTATGCAATTGCCACTTAAATGATTCTGACTCACAAAAGGAATACATACAAAAATGTAAAATCCGAAAGTCAGAATGGATTCTATATAGCAATATCAATGGGCAGATCAGTTGGCATACTATATGTCAGAATACCATCTCAAAACTTCAATTCAGTATCTACCGATTTCTATTTATTCAAGAATCCATATAAGTTACGATTGAGATCGTCGAAACATCCGATTTCAATTTAGTCACTATCTGCCAATTTAACATCAGGAACGAATTGCATAAACGCAAAATCGCTTTACCCTTATTCCATTTAATCGGCAGATCATATGACAAAAGAAATCCCAAAAAAATTCAATCGTTTAAGATTGAAACAAAACTATGAATACTCCAAATAATTCAATATGAAGGAGGCTCTGATACCAATTGTTGGAATAAATCCATAAATACTTTAATCTTCATATTGAAATTATCTAGAGAATTAACTGAGCGGAAGCGTACCTGACTCCACGGGAGATCACCTTTGGAGATCCGGGAGACGGAGGCTAGGGTTTGCGTCTTCTAGCTGATACACGCCCTCGGGAATTATCTCTCTAGCGATGGGATGCAGAAAGACGGAATGACGTGTACAACTAGGGACCATAACCCCTTATTTATAGAGAGTGCTTAACCCTAATCAGCCCATCATTGATTAGGTCAAGCCCATGGGTCTCTACACATTTGGGCCATATACCTTATTAGATAACTTATTAGCCCACTTAAATTAATATCCATAGGACCACTAATTTTGGGCCTAAATATAAGATAGCATATAACATACAATTAAACCCGATAAATAATATATTGTGAATATTACATGTAGTATAAGTCCAATAATCTAACAATCTCCCACTTGGACGACATACACATGTATACACAATCCTTAGAATTGTATGTTTACTTTAGGAGCTCCAAAATTTTGCTATCAAACTGTAGTCATCTTTAATCAATCTGGTCCATTAATTATATCAACATAGGACCAAAGAAGTCTTTGTTATATTTGAATAACTAGACTCATCAATGATCACGTATATTAATATAATAAACGACATGGATCAAGTATAGGTGTGTAGCGTGGAAATAACATAAAGTGTGGTCTGGAATAGAATGTCTATTTCCAACTGGTCCACCTTGAGATCAATAATATAACTGTAAGAGTACATAAAACTTTAAACTTTATTTCTGCAGAAAATAACCTTAAAAACTCGAATCCAGTCAATTAACCAAATATAGAAACATTACAAACTCCCACTAAAACTCATAATCCTCAACTGATTTGACACCCATTTGAGCAACATGCTCATGAAACACTTTGGGTGGTAGTCCTTTAGTGAGCGGATCCGCAATCATGGAGTTCGTGCTAATGTGCTCTATAGATAACTTTCCTTCTTGTACTCGTTCCTTAACAGCCTTAAATTTGACCCCAATGTGTTTTGCCTGGGTCAAACTACTGTTGTTCTTAGCATAGAGGGCTGCTGATCTATTGTCACACAATAACTTAAGTGGTCTTTCAATGCTGTCCACTATGCGTAGTCCACTAACAAAATCTCGCAGCCATAATGCCTGATTGGATGCCTCATAACATGCTATAAACTCTGCTTCCATGGTGGAAGTAGCTGTAAGAGTCTGCTTGATACTCCTCCAGGAGATAGCTCCTCCAGCTAGAATATAGATGTAGCCTGAAGTGGATCTCAAGCTATCTTGACATCCAGCAAAATCAGAGTCGGTATACCCAATAATCTCAAGCTGATCCGATCTCCGATATGTGAGCATATATTCCTTTGTTCTCTGTAAATACCGCATGACCCTTTTGGCTGCTTTCCAATGGTCCATTCCCGGATTGCTCAAATATCTGCCTAACATCCCAACAATGTATGCCAAATCAGGTCTTGTACAAACCTGGGCATACATCAAACTTCCTACAGCCGAAGCATAAGGAATGTTCCTCATTTCTTTAGATTCAAAACCATTCTTAGGGCACTGCATGAGACTAAACTTGTCTCCCTTAGAAACTGGGGTATCTCCTGGTTTGGAGTCTTGCATACCAAACCTTTTGAGAACCTTATCGATATAGCTCTTTTGTGAGAGTCCAAGAACGCCTTTGGAGCGATCTCGGTGAATTTGAATTCCTAATACAAAAGAAGCCTCACCAAGATCTTTCATTTCAAAATTCTTTGAAAGAAATCTCTTAGTTTCGTGTAATAAGCCTATATCGTTAGTAGCAAGCAGTATGTCATCAACATACAAGACCAGGAAAATATGCTTACTCCCACTGAACTTGTGGTATATACAATCATCACTGACGTTTGGTTGAAAACCAAAAGATATAATGACTTTATGAAACTTGTGATACCACTGACGAGAAGCCTGTTTGAGCCCATAGATGGATTTCTTTAATTTGCAAACCATTTTCTTTGAATCTCCCGAAACAAAGTTTTCTGGTTGCTCCATATAGATTGATTCCTCAATGTCACCATTGAGAAATGCAGTTTTTACATCCATCTGATGAAGCTCAAGATCAAAATGTGCCACTAATGCCATTATTATTCTAAAAGAATCTTTCGAGGATACCGGAGAGAAAGTCTCTTTATAGTCAATTCCTTTCTTTTGAGTGTAGCCTTTTGCAACAAGACGAGCTTTAAACCTTGTAACATTGCCCTTTGAATCCCTCTTAATTTTAAATATCCATTTACAACCAATGGGTTTAATACCTTCAGGCAATGAGACTATCTCCCAAACGTCATTGTCACTCATAGACTTCATCTCATCTTTCATGGCATTAATCCATTCTTGAGAGTTAGAACTTTCCATGGCTTGACGGAAGTTGATTGGATAATCTTCCGCAAAACCAACATCCGATTCTTGTTCTTGGAGGAAGACAATTATTTCTTCCACCAATTCCCAATTTTCCTCATGTTCTAGGAGAAATACAATATAATCATCCGGAATTGCGCTTCTCCTCTCTCGAGTGGATCTCCTTAATGGCACCTCAGGTTCTTGAGGTTGTTGAGTTTGATCCTCATTAACAAATTCAGGTACTTGATTGGGGATGTTTTCGAGATTGTCATGAACTGGAGTTGTTTCTTGAACATCATTAGGAATAAACATATCTTGATCATGTTCAATGACAACTGAAGGAAGAGTAACATGTTCTTCCTCAAAGACAAAATCTCTAACCTTATCTCCCCACCCCCCAAACTCAATATCCTCAAAGAACCGGGCATTACCCGTCTCAAAAATAGTCCTGGTAGTGGGATCATAAAATTTATACCCCCTTGACCTCTCAGAGTATCCTACAAAATAGCTACTAACTGTTCTTGAGTCCAGTTTCTTTTCATTTGGCCTATAAGGCCTTGCCTCAGCTGGACAACCCCAAACATGGAAATGATTTATACTGGGTTTCTTTCCAGTCCAAATTTCATAAGGGGTTTTAGTTGTAGCTTTAGTGGGAACTCTGTTAAGTATGTAAGCTGCAGTTTTCAGTGCCTCTCCCCAGAGTGAATCGGGTAAAGTAGTATGACAAATCATACTCCTAACCATGTCCTTCAATGTACGGTTTCGTCTCTCAGCAACACCATTCATGCTAGGAGTTCCTGGCATGGTGTACTGAGGAACAATTCCACACTCCTCTAGGAATTTAGCAAAGGGCCCTGGACGTTGTTCACCGGAACCATCATATCTACCATAGTATTCACCACCACGGTCAGATCTAACGGTTTTTAGTCTTTTGCCTATGTGATTTTCAACTTCGGCCTTATAAGATTTGAACACGTCTATTGATTGGGACTTTTCATGAATGAGATAAAGGTAACCATAACGAGAGTAATCATCTATGAATGTGATAAAATATGTTTGGCCATTTCTACATGGTGTAGGGAATGGTCCACAAATGTCCGTATATATCAATTCTAATAGATCTGAAGCTCTCTCGGCACCTAATCTCCGTTTGTTCGTTTGTTTTCCCTTAACGCACTCAACACAAATATCAGAATTTGAGGAGTCAAGAGAATCAAGAATTCCATCTGACACAAGTCTCTGAATTCTTTCTTTAGAAATATGTCCTAGACGTTTGTGCCAAAGTGAAAACGAATCCTCATTGGTTAATTTTCTTTTAGTACCACGAGTACTTACATGCAAGGTTTCATTATATGAGGTATTTATATCAAGTGAATATAGATTATCATAAACTGATAAAAGACCAGTGCCAATAAGTTTTGAATCTTGAAATAGACTGAACTGGCTATTTCCAAATGAACAAGAATAACCAAATTTGTCCAATGCAGAAATAGAAATTAAATTCCGCCTAAATGACGGCACAACAAATGTCTCTTTCAAATCCAAATAAAAACCAGTCTTTAATAATAATCTAAAAACACCGATAGCCTCAACTTCAACCCGCTTGCCATCACCGACATAGATGTATCTTTCACCATCAATTGGTTTTCGGCAGCTCAGGCAACCCTGCATAGATACACTTATGTGAGTAGTAGCACCGGAATCTACCCACCAAGTGTCTTTTGGTACTGAAATTAAATTAACCTCAGAACAAACAAGAGAAAGAGACATACCCTTTTTCGCACGCCAAACATGGTACTTAGTGCAGTTCTTTTTCTTGTGATTAGTCCCTTTGCAAAAGAAGCATCCAGATTCCTTAGTTTCTTCCTTAGTTTCCTTGTGATGCTTCCTGGGAGGCCCCGAATTTGCAGCTTCCTTAATTTTCCTTTTATTGCTGCCCTTAGAGGTAGATGCCAAATGAGCACTTTCTGTCTTATCTTGCTTTATTCTCTCTTCCTCTTGAACACAATGAGAAATGAGCTCATTGAGAGACCATTTCTCCTTAATGCAGTTGTAACTGACTTTAAATTGATTAAATTGAGAAGGAAGAGAGATCAAAACTAAATACACAAGCAATTCCTCAGGTAAAATAAGCTTTAGTGCACTTAGTTTTGAAGCAATGTGAGACATTTCCAAAATGTACTCCCTTATGTTCCCTTTGCCCTTGTACTTCATGGAAACAAGAGTGCTCAAAAGAGTACTAGTTTCCGCCTTTTCGTTTTTAGCAAAACGCTTTTCAAGTTCGGCAAGGAACGATTTGGCATCAGCCTCATCAGACATTGTGCCCCTGAATGATTCTGGAATTGCACGTTTCATGATCATTAGACTCATGCGATTTGAGCGTTCCCACCTCTCCATCTCCCTCTTTTCATCGAGGGTAGATGTGTCCTTAAGAGCGGCGGGTTTCTCAGTCCGAAGTGCAAGGTCTAGATCCATGCAACCGAGAACGATCATAACATTCTCTTTCCATTCCTTAAAATTCGTGCCGTTAAGCACTGGGATGCTATTAATATTAGCAGATATTGTAGCAGCAGAATTGATGACTGAAAGAGAACAAAAATAATATAAATGATATGCTCTAGGAATTGAAATTAATTTTATAATTAATTTTAAATTTAAATATTAGCAATCCCCATCACAAGATACCTAGCGCAACATCTAATCTTGTCTTTGGACATAAATTAGACTTGCAAGTGGTACTCTTGGTGTAATAATAAAATTTTGATAATAAAATCATGTCAAATACAAAGCCTTTCTTTGGACCGACTTAATATTCACACGAAAAACTTCATAATCATCACAAATTTTATTATCACAAATGTACTTAAATTTCGGCCAAATAATAACCTTCCTTTGGGCCGATTATTATCCGCATGAAATAAGAAAATACACAATCATCTTAATATATGAGTTAATTAATTTCAACAAGAGAGGCTACTTTGGCAGCATGTTGTATCAATTAACTAACTCAAATATCAGACATGCTAATATTAATTTGAAAAATCCGAAAATAAAATTCGGCTGATTTTTTTTTTTTGAATCACATGCAAATGTGTTATGTATAACGATAATTTGTAAAACTCGTACCCAATCGATTTGCGATTGCAAAATAGGGTTTATACATCCCATAACACACAATACATATTTTTCAAGCCGTAAATCATGATCACCAACAAAAGTAATCTATTTCCAAATATGCAATTCTAATAGAACTGATATTGCCCGTAATCACATATAAATATTTAATTACCAAAACCATAGAAATTTCCAAAATCGAATCAGCCAAAAATTGGAAACAAATCAAGATCTAAAGTGATACACTTATTATTATCAAATACAAGAGAATCTCCAATATCTTAAAAATTTCCCAAAAATACGAATGATTCAAAATAAAGTAAAATAAATTAATCCGCTGGAATCATCCTTTTTACAAATTAAATTTAGACTGATTCTCAAATCAAAACAAAAATAAGTCTGTAAGGGAATCTCAATACAAAATCTCGACCAGACTTATGAATCCACCAAATTAAATTGAATGTTAAATTCAATCCATTAAAATTTATTGGATGGTGCCTATTAAAACAAAAAAATAATTATACTTATGGCACTTGAACTGTAATTGATCGATCGACAGAGAAGTGAAACGAGAAATTTTATTCCACTTGATCGCATGAGCAAATTAAACCAAATTGCCAGACTTCATCCAAAAAAATAAACACACAAATCCAAAATTTATGCAATTGCCACTTAAATGATTCTGACTCACAAAAGGAATACATACAAAAATGTAAAATCCGAAAGTCAGAATGGATTCTATATAGCAATATCAATGGGCAGATCAGTTGGCATACTATATGTCAGAATACCATCTCAAAACTTCAATTCAGTATCTACCGATTTCTATTTATTCAAGAATCCATATAAGTTACGATTGAGATCGTCGAAACATCCGATTTCAATTTAGTCACTATCTGCCAATTTAACATCAGGAACGAATTGCATAAACGCAAAATCGCTTTACCCTTATTCCATTTAATCGGCAGATCATATGACAAAAGAAATCCCAAAAAAATTCAATCGTTTAAGATTGAAACAAAACTATGAATACTCCAAATAATTCAATATGAAGGAGGTTCTGATACCAATTGTTGGAATAAATCCATAAATACTTTAATCTTCATATTGAAATTATCTAGAGAATTAACTGAGCGGAAGCGTACCTGACTCCACGGGAGATCACCTTTGGAGATCCGGGAGACGGAGGCTAGGGTTTGCGTCTTCTAGCTGATACACGCCCTCGGGAATTATCTCTCTAGCGATGGGATGCAGAAAGACGGAATGACGTGTACAACTAGGGACCATAACCCCTTATTTATAGAGAGTGCTTAACCCTAATCAGCCCATCATTGATTAGGTCAAGCCCATGGGTCTCTACACATTTGGGCCATATACCTTATTAGATAACTTATTAGCCCACTTAAATTAATATCCATAGGACCACTAATTTTGGGCCTAAATATAAGATAGCATATAACATACAATTAAACCCGATAAATAATATATTGTGAATATTACATGTAGTATAAGTCCAATAATCTAACAAAAGAAAGTGCAATGGGTTTCAATTGGAAACAAATAAAACACTTGGAAGAATTTGTGGCAATTCATCAATTACCCCTTCATATCAATTCATTCACTTTGAGGAACCTAAATTTTAACCCCCCCCCCACACACACACCACCCTCTTAGATCATGTTAATCACAACCATCCCACTCAAATTACTATATTCATGTATGCTATTGTAATAGACATTAGTCTCTTAATTATAACTCTTACATCACTAAAAACAGATCGCAACCTTAATCACTAAAAACACATCATAGCCTTGTGTACCTGAGTGATGCTTGAGGGAGAAATGAGGTTTGGAAGAAATAACATCTTCAGACCCAATTTCCAAGGTGCAGCTGTTAATCCCATTCTTCACTCAGTATCAACCCACTTTCAAGTAAACTTGAATGCCGAAAAAATTTGACTAACTATGCATTAGAAAATCCTCATAGCCTAATATCTGAAAGAGGATAAGACATTAGAAAAACCTCATCACCTAATATCCAGAAATAGTATCCTCATAGTTAAGATTTGATGGAGAAGTATTTGTTTCTTGTGGTGGTGCGTAAGCTTTCAATAGGATCGAGTGGGAAGAGACTTCGCCTATTTTCTAAGAGAAGAATAGGCTGCAAAAATTTCTCTCTCCTATGTAGATAAAGGGCTTGTTTGGCAATCAGCGGTTAGCGGTTAGCGGATAGCGGATTGAGTTAGCGGGTTTTAAACAGCGGATTGAATCAGCGGGTTTGACCGGCGGATTAGTTTGGCGGGTAACAAAAAGATGTTTGGTAACTTAGCTGTTTACTTTTAGCGGTTAATAACTAAAAAGACAAAAAAGGGCATGAGCATACACTAATATATTTGTGAGTTAATTAATTATTTAAAAATTAACAGAATAAAAATATACGAGTACAACGTAATATGTAAAAATGTGCTTCGTAGAATCTATGGGGTATATATTTACCTCATTGCATATATATAATATGCGTTTGCGGAAGTGAAGAATAGGAAGGGCAACCTTGACAATCAATTAAGTATTTGGAATCCGCTACTCTAAACGCTCCAAGTTGCAGCGATTTCATTTTCGGCGGTTCGGATGAAGACGCCGTAGTAATAGGCCATTTGCCAAACACTTAATTTCAGCGTGTTGGCTGATTAAAACCGCCGAATTCTGTCAAACCCGCTAGTATTAGGCTAAAATGCCATTTACCAAACAGGGCCAAAAAATAAAGATGTTACCCTTATAATTGTCCTTAAAGTTTTAATTAATTACAGATAAACCTAAAAGCTAATAAAAGCATCTCCAAGGGTGATTTGAGCTTGTGGATTAAAAGTGCTAAAAATTAAGTAGAAGTTACTGTTTACAAACAACATTTTTAGTTTGGAAAAATTGACAAGAATAATCTCACCTTTCACTGATCTTCTCATAATAATCCTACCTTTACATAAGCTGACCAAGTTTTTTACCTTTCTTTGAAAATCTTATATAAATAATCTCACATTTATAAAGATATAATAGAAATGTGAAAGGTAAGATTATTTATATGATTTTCAAAAAAAGAGTAAAAAACATGGTCAGGGTCCAATGAAAAAAGATAGTGTGCAAAGATGGGATTATTCTGAGATTACCTAAATGTGGGATTATTACGAGAAGACCAGCGAAAGGTGGGATTATTTTTGTCAATTTTTCCTTTTAGTTTTTATCTTTGAAAAAGTTGAAAAGCACTTCAAAGAAGTTATTGCAAACACTTCTTAAGAATTTAGAACAACTACGAGCACTCGACCAGCGGAGGGTTTTGTATACAGAGTATTTTTTACTGCCATACTACCACCTAATTGTTTAACTATTTTTTGCTTACATTGTTTTCTTTGATAGAATTTAGATAAGGGTTAGAAATCATACCTACCATCAAACAATTATAATTATAAGTAGAAATAATCACAAATTTATGACTAAAAAATGTTGAGAAAGTTATTACCATTCAAGTGGAGTGGCTAAAATAGTAACTTAGTCATGATGATTTAATAATTTATGTTCAATTTTACATTTAAGTGATTCTGACACTAGTAACATAGTAATATTTTGTAAATAAATTTTACAAATATCTTTGAAAATAACTCTTATAAATAATGACCATCATGTCATATTTATGAACACTTCTTAGAATAGTTCATTTAACCACAATTAGAAAATTGTCTCACACTTGTGCTTTATTAAGCCCAAAATGCCACATTTTACCGATCTAATGAAAAAATTCATTCAAAATTTAACATATGGCTTCAGATATGGAGGTCATTTCAGCCAAATACTCACGAATAATAGTACGTCCACCCTTCGTGGTCCTGCCAAGTGTGGATTTGAGGAAAATGATATGTCCACGAGAGGTACTAACTGCTATCATATGTAACAAGTTTGGGTTATTTTCAATTAATATGGTCTATGGACAAATATTAATGAGTTTGTGAAAGTTTGAGCTCAAGAATCAAAACTGAAGAAGATGAATTCGTATGTTCAGAGTGTTTTCGGAAGAAGAATGCGGAAGAAGAAAGATTGAAATGAATAATTCTTAACCTAATTACAATCAATTTTAGGTATTTATACCTATTACATAAAAGGCAACAACAAATAACTAAAGGTCCAATAAAGATACAAGATAGGCCCAAAAGCTGAAGCAAAGCAGTCCAGTGCAAGCCAAGCAGTCCAGTGCATTACTCTTGATATGCCCCCCCTCAAGATGAGCATGAATGTCTTGCATGTTCATCTTGACTGCAAATTGACTAAACAAGGGATTTCCAAGTGGTTTAGTGTAGATATCTGCAAGTTGAAAATTATTTTTAATATGAAGCAGAGTAATTAATCCAGAATTAATCTTTTCTCTAACTAAATGACAATCCAATTCTATATGTTTTGTTCTTTGATGTTGTATTGGATTATGAGCAAGATGATAAGTAGATTTGTTGTCAGTATAAATAATTTTAGGTAAAGAAATAGGTATATGTAAATCAGTAAAAATGTAAGATAACCATTGAACCTCACAGACTGCATTAGCAGCAGCCCTGTACTCAGCTTCAGTAGATGATCTACTGACAACCTGTTGCTTTTTAGATTTCCAGGAAATCAAAGAGTTACCAAGGTAAAAAGCATAACCTGAAGCACTTCTCCTACTATCTATACAAGCAACCCAGTCAAGGTCAGTGTATCCTTGAATAGAAAAATCAGAAATGCATGGGTAAAGTAAACCTTTACCTGGTGAATTCTTAAGGTATCTCAAAACTCTATGAGCTGCACTCAAATGAACATTAGTGGGAGCAGCAAAAAATTGACTAAGAACTTGTATACTATAGGCAATATCAAGCATAGTTACAGTTAAATAGAGCAACTTACCAATTAGAGTTCTATAAATTTTAGGATTTTCTAAAACACTTCCATCATTTTTAGATAGTTTAATTTTTGAGTCCATGGGAGTAGTATAGGGTTTAGAATGAAGATAGCCATATTCAGTTAGAATGTCTAAAGTGTATTTTCTTTGACACAAATTTATACCTTTATCAGATCTAGCAATTTCAATTCCTAAAATGTATTTTAACTCACCAATATCTTTAATAGTAAAATTGTTGATTAAAAAAAATTGACATCATTGATGTCTTCCATACTGTTTCCAGCAAGGATGATATCATCAACATATATTAAAAGGACAGTAAAAGAATTTCTAGTAATCTTGGTGAACAAAGAGAAATCAGCCTGAAACTGTTTATAACCAAAAGATTTTAAAGAATCAGAAAGCTTACAAAACCATTGCCTAGAAGCTTGTTTAAGACCATAGAGACTTTTAACAAGCTTGCAAATCCTGATATCTCTTGGAGGTAAATAACCTGGAGGAGGCTGCATATAAATTTCTTCATTTAAATCACCATGTAAAAAAGCATTGTTTACATCAAGCTGGTGTAAAAACCATTTTTTAGCACTAGCAATAACCAAAATGATTCTGACAGTGGTCAGTTTAACAACAGGGGAGAAAGTGTCAAAATAATCAAACCCTTCTTCTTGAGTATAGCCTTTTGCCACTAGTCCGGATTTATATCTTTCTAAAGATCCATCAGGTTTAAGTTTTGTTTTAAAAACCCATTTACATCCAATAATATTGTGATTAGTAGGAGGAGGAACTAATATCCAAGTTTTATTATTTTCTAAAGCTTGAATCTCATTAGTCATGGCATTCTGCCATTCAGAAAACTTAGCAGCATGTTTATAAGTTTTAGGTTCAGTTATTCTGGAAAGAGCAGCAGTAAAACAAGAATGGGAATGTCCTAGTCTATTATAGGTTATATGATTTTGAATAGGATATCTGACAAGATTACAAGAATTAGAAGAAGAGGTACCTGTAATAATGGAGTTAGGTAATTCGTAACTGTAATCTTGAAGATGTATAGGAAGAGATCTTACTCTGGTGGATTTTCTTTGTGACTGGTCTTCTGAAACAGTTTCATTGTTAGTAGTAAAGTCATGTGTATTCATAGTATTGAATTCTTCATTGACCTGATCTTCTAAATAGTGATTAGAAGGTGTGTGATATTCATAAGTGTAATCATTAGTATTAGAAGAATCTAATACAGAGTCAGAATGAATAGAACTATCATCAGAAGGATCAGCATTACTTTTATAAGGAAAAATCATTTCATAGAATTTAACATTTCTGGATATAAAAAATTTGTGATTAGAAATATCATGTAGCTTATATCCTTTAGATCCAAGAGGATATCTAATAAAAACACATTTAACAGCCCTTTTATCAAATTTTGATCTATTAGAAGATAAGGTAGAAGCATAAACAAGAGAGCCAAAAACTCTTAGGTGAGAATAATCAGGTGTTTTACCATATAATAATTCATATGAAGATTTATTATTTAGAACAGCAGTGGGAATTCTATTTATAATATGAACAACAGTTAGAATGCAATCAGACCAAAAAATGAGAGGTAGACAGGATTGAAATAAAAGAGACCTAGCAACTTGAAGAATATGTTGATGTTTTCTTTCAACCCTAACATTTTGCTGGGGGGTTTCAACACAAGATAATTGATGAATGATGCCATTATCAGTATAGAAAGAAGGAAAAATAAATTCAGTACCATTGTCTGTCCTAATAATTTTAATTTTATTATGAAATTGAGTGAGAATCAGATTGTAAAACTTTAACATATAGAATTTGACTTCAGATTTGGTTTTCATCATAAAAATCCAAGTGCATCTAGTATGATCATCAACGATGGTTAGAAAGTATTTGAAACCAGAATAAGATTCTACTTTAAAAGGACCCCAAACATCCATATGCACAAGATCAAAAGCATGTAAAGCATTAGAAGTACTATTTGGAAAAGGTAATCTTTTTTGTTTAGCAAAGTGACAAATATCACAAGAAGTATTTTTACTGATATGATGTTGAATATTACAGTCAACAAGAGAACTGAGTTTATTAAAAGGAAAATGACCAAGTCTATAATGCCAGATTGCCAGATATCAGAATTATTTGTTACAGTTTGAGTATCAACAGTATTAACAGCAGAAGACTTAGTAGGTATGAGAACAGATTTAGAAGAATTGTAAAG